CCTCACTGGGTTCATAAGAAGAAGGAAAAGGCTTGACACATTCTTGCCCGTTAAGCGAACGCAGATCTTTCGGCTTGGAAACCAAAAATTGCAAGAAAGATCCGAGATTTTTATAGCTTCAGATCGCAAATACTGGGAATTATACTGGATTGGTTAATTAGGCCGCGCAATCATGGAGTAACTTGATCGAGTGCACTTAGGCCTGTTGACCCGTTGTGATACCTATGATGTACATAGAAGTGACTCCTTTCTCCTACCTTATACATGATGAAACCACTTGGTTTGCTAGACGAAACACACGAGGTTATTTGCTGCCGCTTTATCTGTAAGGCATTGAAAGCAGAAATTACCTAGGAAACGATATCGGGCTGCACTTTGGGCGGAGGTGCTCCTGTAGTAGTATGAAAGTGTACACTATGTCCGGGGATCCAAAGCACGGTCATTTTGCATAAAGCAGCGAGTTTTTTTAAGATCTTAAAAAAGATTTAATGGCAGCTTGGCTGTCGGGCTTAATTGTGAAAGGTTGAGCAACCATGAAGCGCCTTCCATTACGGGAGTTAGTTCAACTTGAAAGGCGCTGCGGTGGTTGGGAAGTCTCTTGATCATGTCGATTGCAAGTCGTTTCGATTGAACTCCGCACAACACCCTGCCATCGAGTTTTGAACTGCTAGTGAGGCTGGATACGAATCTTTATTTCAGAGCTACTATGTTTTTCCATTAATTCTTCTCTTGGATTTTCGTTGTGGTGTGGTTCACATCTTTCGATTATGGTGTATATATCAGTATTCGTGCGTTTCAAGTGTGCTCACTCCAAGGCTGAATTGCGTCGTTGCTTCTAGTCTCTTATTTTCCATGCCGGATTGTCGGCAGAAAATTGAGTAGATTTCAAGTACTTTCGTAGGTGTTGAAGGCAACTCTTCTGTATCTAGGTTTGAGGCTGTCAGCTGAACTTTGTCCAGTTTACACCTGTACGTAGCCTCGTATAGGGCCGGCAACCAGACAGTATCTCCGCAAAATTATAAGGGGTTTTATGACCACTTTCTATAGTAAATAAACTATATGCGGTCTTAGTCTCCATCCTTTACCTTGTATCACCTTGCAGGCGTATAGCACAGGTATAGCTGTATCACTCCTTTCAACAGTCTTTCGGTGTCAGGAGAGCTTACTCTCTATGGTTATACCTGGGCATTTGACTTTGATAGAAACAATGATTTTGTTGGCTTTTAGTAAGATCTTAAAATTAGATGGCTTATAGCTTCTGGTGAAGAGTAACATTTAGGTCTTAGTATAAAAAATAAGGGATACTTTGGAGTTTTCCAATGACAGTGAGGACCATGTCATCAGCGTTTGCTATCATCTCGTAGCCGGTTCTTTTTAGTTTGTAAAACAGCGTATTAACTGCGAAACACTAAATTAGCGGAAAGAGTAGTCCACCCTGATGTGCTTTTCTTGGCAGACATGGTTACCTCCTCCTAAATCAGCAATGCCTATCCTGTTTCCTAAGAGACATTTCACCAGATTCCCTAAATACTCTCCTCATTTCATTGGAATTTATTCGTGATTATAACCAGTAAGACATTACTTAAAGCTCCCTCGATATCGAGGAAAGCGCCTAGTGTATGTATTCTTTTTCAGGGCTACACCCTTCTCAATGCTCTTCACGATTTCGTAAAGAGCGCCGTCGACGGGTTTACTTTTCCAAAGAAAAAGGCCAACAAACCGCTACTTGTTACCGTTGGTGTTCTGGATCAGTCAACTCTGCATACGCATTGACAAGCAACCAGGTGTAACGTGAATGCAGGTGATGCATGGAAATGTTGAATCTGATATGACCGAGGGCTTTTTAGTTGCTTTACTGCTTTGTCGTCTGCCCGTCTGACTGTCTGACTGCTCTCCCTAAGCCAATGTGTGGCATACTTTTGTGCGCTTAGCAGCTATCGGTTGCAAAATAAGCGTAAAAGCTTATAGTTTGACAACTGTATGGAAGGAATATTTGCAAAACACATCTACATATCCTTTGATAGTCATGCCAGGTATGAAAGAAAGTCTCCCCGCATAGCTAAAGCGTAGCAAACACTCACTTTCCTTACAACTTCCGCATCACACCAACAATTCGCCGCATATTATTTGCCTTGCAGCTATTCACATATTTCTTGGTTAAATGACAGGTCTTTTCAGCAGCAAATGCGCATCCTGCACTTGATATTTGTATATATGTATGTATGGAAGAGTTTGTAGGAGACATGCGAAGCGCTATTAGATGTGTGTGCGGTTGCTTGAGCGGGGAACAGTGGTAGAAAGACTGCTGTTGGACGGAGTGTGGATCGTTAGTGTTGGTAGTTGAAGTTTGTGTGTACTTAGCACTCACTCACTCACTCTCAACCGACCTGTGTTACTCTACTGTCTTTAAGCACATGCATGTTGTGCTTTTATAGCTTAGAAAACAGAAGAACGTTTCGATATATAGAGCGGAATAGAGAAAAACTAGTTATAAACTAGTATTTATAGGCTGACTTTATACCAGTTTGATAGTTTTAGTCAAATATTGGTTAATAAGAAATGAGTCTCCACGATTTATGCGGTGACTTATCAAAGGCGATTAGAAATGAGTTCAATATAAGAATGATTTATAAAGCGAAAAGAGAAATTCTCTTCATTTCAAAGATCTGTTTTTAGTCCAACTATTCCAAAATTTCAACTGATATACCAGATAGGCTTCCCTTATATAAGTTGAAACAAGCTGGTCTTGTTAACCGGGAAGCTTGTTGTAACCGCGAAAATATTCCCAAGAATAGTTTCCATGGAAGATCAGTTCGATAAAAGTCCAGCATCGTACGTGTTCAATATTCCGAGAATTAATAGATTTTGGTTGCCTCTCTTGTCCTCATGTCGTGGGTAAATTCTTGAACTGACGGGTTCGATAGATTTGATGGCGGTGGCAATAGCAATTCGTAGTCTAATATAGAAATTGTTGTAAGTGGACCTTTGTGCATCCCAAGCAACTATGTCCATAATCTTGTCGGCTTCTTGCCTTGAGATGCATCCACTTAACGGGCTTTCATTCTTCGATGTTAAATATTGTTTTAAAGGTTTTCTTGATGACTTCCCTTATGGTGACTTCTTTTGGTCGACGTAAGGCACTTCTTAGCTTTGAAATTGATGTCGCCAAGTTCAAACAGTATTTATCAAGCCTGAGCTTCCTTTCAGTGTTGAGCTTTCAACGCAAGCTCTCATTTTCCCAGAGCGGATTTTTGAGTAGACAAAAACGATTATATAATCATTAATTTGGGGGCAAGCTCTAGCGTGAAAGCGAGTCCCTTTCGTCTGTGCCCACCCAAGCTTTAAAAAAGTCAGTGAAGAAGTCATACAAAAGAAAAAAAATCTTAGATGAGAGACCATCCTCTGGATGACGACCACTGCAAATGTTTTATAATCACGATATGATGGCAATGAGCTCGAATGTTCGACTTCTTAATTGGAAAAGTGCCACGAACCTGTTTATTGATGCCCTCATGAGACTAAAGGATAACACCACCGCCGTACGACACGACACGCGAGGAATGGGACAAGTGTGGAAGAAAGTTCGTTTTTGAGAATTTTACTAAAGCGTTCTTATAAAGAGCATTTGGTGCTAGATTTGTGATGACAGAGCAACTCCATCGCAGACTTCTGGCTTTCTTGCCGTCAGCCCGCATCAAAGCGAAGTTCTCCAACACATCGTTGATTTGTCCTCACGTCTAGAATGCTAGATGTGCTTAGGATCCGATGGCCTAACAACGATGACTAGGACCACCATCTTGTTGCAGCCAAGAGAGGCACCCGCTTCTGCGCAACAAAGAACGCCCATCAGCACAACACAAGCTAAGTTCTTCGTGGAAAAGCTGGGATCACAACAGACAATCGAACGGTTTTCTACTCGACTTGCGCGCCTGCTCTGCAACTCGACATAAGGAAGCTGTAGGTCGTTATTTCAAGCTCCTTACGTACAGCTACATACGAAAGCTTAGGTTTTTGGCAATTCCAACAGAATGGCTGGTGGGTTGAAGATTGTTGTACTGCTGTAGAAGACTTTAAATCTCGAAAGCTGAGTGGGTGCGAAGAGTTTGAGAATTGTCACAACTTAGTAGCGGGTTAAACTCTTACTTATCCAGACTCGACCCCAGCATATCCAACGTATGCCCTGCATGTGGAGAGTCTCCGTACGACACCAACCACCTCTTCATATGCTCCTTTAAAGCGATTCATGTAACCCCCCTCTCTCTTTGGTCTGATCCCGTCGAAACAGCTCGTTTCCTGGACCTCCCATTAGATGACCTCGGTGACTTAGATTAAACCTGTACCTAAGCGAGGTTAGCGAACCGCTAAGACAACAACAAGAGTTTGAGAAGGAGAAAGACAAGGATGCGGTTCGGAAATTCCACCGTGTCTTACAGAAGGATGCAAAATCGGTAGAAAAGAGAATTCTGATGGATGACACTTCCAGAAGATTAATTAAAATTAGCTGAAAAAAATTGCTTTCGTCCTTTTGTCAAATTTATTAAAGAAGTGGGAAAGATTTTTACTCAATCTCAAGCAAAAGATGTTGTTATTTATTGGTGTAATAATCGAGAACGAGTTTTTGTGCTCGATGAGCTCTCTTAATGCTCGGCGCTGCTCATACATTTCCAGTTCAATAAATTCCGATTTATTGTCTCCTCTCGTAACCAAAGCTTTGATTTGATACCGCCGTGCACTTTCAGCTTTGTTGGCTGTCAAATATAGAAAAAAAAACTCACTCAGCAACCTTCCAGAGTTGCCTTTTATCAATCATTCGATTGGTGTGACTTTCGAGTGTTTTGATTGCAATGATTGGAATCCACTTGCTTCTATTTATTCATTGGCTTGCATGTGTGGCCGATTTGTGAGGTAAAAGTTAGATGGGAAATTTATTTCCTAAGTGCAAAATGAAGTACAAAGAAGAGAAGAGTTTTTTAATTTTTTTATTTATTTTGTAATTTCCAATATTTCTACGCTTCCCACAAACCACTTATTGCCCACAACACATCACTTAAGCGCCGACACAACGTCGACCATAGTCATGCCACCACAACAACTATCGGCCTCTACTAACTCCTCTACCTGCTCTTCCTCCGCCTCGTGCGCCGCCGTGACATCACTCAACCCCGTCAATGTTTCCATCGCTCCGGGCAACGATGACGCAAACGGTGCATGCACATCGGGGTCGTGTGGGAACAGTGTCCGCAAGTCTGCCACCGGCGCACACATACACAACTCCGAGATACGCTTGTACTGCGGCGTCTCCTTGAGTGCATGCCGTCGATTGCGCACCAACGGTGCTGAGATATGTGAGAAACGTGGTGTGGGCAAACGCACACGAAAGCCGCAATTGGCTATATATGCGTAGAGTTTGGGGTTGTCGTAGACGAAGGAGGGTGGCGGATGCCATGTCTTGAAGTGTTCGTGATAGTTGCGCATGTTAAGACTGCTGAGGCTTGAAAGACTTGGCGGTAGTACGCTATCGGATAGCGTTGTTGTTGTAGTTGGTGTTGTAAATAAGCTTGGTATACTTATTACCGGTGTGGCGTTCGTGGTAGTGCCGCTGCTTGAGTCGGTTGGTAATGTCCTCATGAGGGACGTCGGGGTGCTGGGCGGCGAGTGCGTTATTGATTTCGTTTTTGTTGCTGTTGCTGTTGTTGTTGTATTATTTGAATGACATCCAACATGGGATCGTTGGTTGAATGCATTTTCCACTTTGATTTTTAAATTGTTGTTGCTGTCCTCGCTGCCACTGTTGCTGTCTTTATCGTTTAATTCATGCGTTGTATTTGTTGTTGTTGTTGTTGTTGTTCCAGTTCTTGATCTTTCGATTGCTTCCGTATAAGTTCTATCAATTAGTTTCTCCGGCGCTATGCTTATAGTGGGTGTTTCCGATTTCGGTCCTTCCAGCTCGTGAAAAATAAATGAGTAAATGCCATCGCGTCGTTCGAGCTCCTTCAGCATCAATTCATCCGTTGAGAGATTGATCTCGATCAAGTCTTTACTGAATGTCGTCATCTGAAGGGAAAAAATGATGAAAATAAATATTTGATTAAAATTTTGGTGTAGACCAACGTCCTCATGTTTTTCATACGAATTGAGGGACCTCCGAAAGGCGGATGAATTTTTTTTTTTTGAGGAAATTTTATTTTATTTCCGAAACACATTCGAGGGCACGGAATTCCCTGACGATTGCAGTTGGCAGAATTAACTTAATTTAAATTAATTTTCTTTTATTTCTGGATGTTCATCGGACGATTCGGACGAGTTCTTGAAAGTTGATCTTACGAATGGCAGTATGCACTGTTAATCACTCGACTATTGCGGTCGCTATAAAAAGATCATACGTTTACTGTAAGCGCAATACTAGCAAAGTTACTCCTCAAGGATGGGTTTTGACTTCGCTTCTAAGGGAACTAAAAACCAAAAAGTTGTTGCAATTTAATTTTAACAAAAATTTCTCTCGGCAGGGAATATCCACCTCTCCGAGCGTTTTTCTGAAATGAAATAAAAGCTCATCATAAAAAACCATCAGCCGTTTAAGACGCAAAAACCACAAATTGATGGAGGAGCTCGGCCGAAAATCACTTTCGCGGTTACAAAGCACCAATTATTACTGAGGTTATGGAAAGAGCTTTGGAAATATTACATACTGGTTTGGTGGCCAGTATTAGGTAAACAATGGAATACAAAGAGCACCCTGTACAGGGGAAACTTTATCTTTTGAGTTATGTTCGTTAGGTGCCCTGAGATCCCCATGTAGCAATTGCTGAGAAGGTGTCTATACTTGTTTGGCAAAGTTGCAGCGTTTTCCACTACAGTTACTGTTGGTGATGGTATCTTCTATGAGTGAATATAGAAGGAGAGCTGTAGGAGGAAAAATATATCAACCCGCATCGACGAGCATAAAATGCGCAGTGAGAGATGGGATATACTATAAGGATCTCAAGCAGTAAAGCTGTAACGAATACCTGCGGGAAGATATTCAAATAGAGCTGATTGCTTTCTTAAAAGCCCTCTTCTTGGTAAGTTCGATATCACTGAAATCTGAGTTCTGAACCGCAGTTGTAAAAATCGTACGCTTCCTTTGACGACTCGAAAACGGAGTTAATATAAGTACGTTGAGCACGATTAGGTGGGAGTTTCGATTTGTAATATTATAGTATGTTTGGCACAAATATTACAGGACCAATAAAATAGCAATGAGAACGGTATATAAAGCCATTGGTTCTTCGAGGAATTTGTACTAGAAAAAAACACGCGTTCTCTAGTGAGAAAAGAGTGCCTTGACGGCGAATCATGACGTTTCTATTCGGCTTTCTCATAGAAAGTGCGTCTTTTTAGTACTGATTTTCTTACGTGAACTATATCAAAATGTCTGAGGTGTAGAAATTCGGTAGTGTTAAAACCACAGTCGTTTTTGAGATAAATGTGGCCAGCTTATAGGTGAATCTTAGAAAAGGACAACGACTAAAATGACAAAAAAAAAATTATCAGAAATAATTTGGCTGTGCTTTTGGCGATCAAAAACGGGAGTGGGCTCAACACGAGTATTGTCAAAAATTCACGTTCTGTAAAGAATGTGTTTCGCGCGCTTCGCCCATTTTATGGTCAGCATAGTTGGCCTGCTAGCGTGATCTTCCCAACACCATCACCCATTTGATACCCAGAATTCAATATTGCATACTTTTCGACCGAATAGACCACGCTCTGCACACATATAGCTTCTGCAAGAACTGGAGCCGTTTGATCTTCTAGAGCGACATCGGTTTGCTCTATGGTCTCTTGAGAAGTTCCAAGGAAATCCAAAGTTTTCGCGACAAATTTTATTCAACGATGAGGCTCATTTCTGGCTAATTTTGGGCTCAACTTGTAAGCAAGAAAAATTTACGCATTTTGGACAAAGAACTACCTGAAGAGATTCAAAAGCTGTCATTTCGTGGAATCATTGATCCATATATCTTCAAAAATTATGGTCGTATTTTATGAATTTATTTTGACTCAACAAAAGAAGGAATTGCTCGAAGATCTGTGAAATAGATTTAATAATATAGGTTTCAAGGTACCAATAGGAAATTCTTCGTGTTAATTAAATTCAAAATGGCTGTTGTCCAGCATTTGCCTGAAGACGCCTTTTTTTCTAATGTACCCATGACCGAAGATGGAAACTCCTTACTATTTTTCTTGAATCAGAAAAAAAAATCCTCTTAAGATTAAGTGATTTCGAGCAAACCGGCTGCGAGGCACTGCGTCGTAGAAAAAAAATGGGCATTTAGATATTTTTGCTGACATCCAACTTTTGGTATGCTATTTCTTAGACCCTGAAGCACCTTTTAGACAAAATCCTGGAGCAGCTTCCCCCTTAACGCAAATTTTTAATTTAAATTTGTTGTAAAAAGACAACTTGGGAGAGATTGGCAGAGGTTTCGTTCCCCGGCCTTAAAAAAAGAGCTCAAGGATGTTCTGTAACAAAAGAAGGAAAAATAATTTCAGAAGCTCTTACAATCTCTGTCATCTATTTCTGATACTAACTACTCTTAGTGGCGAAAAGTTAAGAGTCTCAAAAGTCCCGACACTTGCGACCCTCCATTGAGAATTGACAGTGGTGAGTGGGCGACCAAATATTGGATGAAAATCTCTTCCAGAACTTCGTGCAGAACCAGATCAAAATTTTATTCAATTTAATTTTAAATCACTTAAAGAAATTATTTCTAACGACATAAAGAAAAAGAAGGCTCCTGGATGCGACAGGATAACGGATAATATGATGAAAGAGCTTCCAAATGCTCTCCACATGCTTTGTATATTTGATAGTATATTGAGACTAAGCTATTTTCCTAAATCCTCGAAGCTCTCGGAATTATGATCCCCAAACCAGGTAAAAATCCATTTGAGGTGGGCTCCTACAGGCCTATTAGCCTAATTACGGTATTCTCAAAAATCTTCGAAAAACTTTTATTAAAAAAATATTACCGATTTTAGAATCGAAACAGTCCATACCATGCCACCAATTCGGGTTTAGAGAAAGATCAGTTTTGAAAACAAGCAATATTGCACTGCGGTGTTCCTCGATGCTGCTTGGGCATTTGATCAAGTTTGATTAGATGGTCTGTTACACAAGCTGAAAGGTACGCTTCCCGTAAAAATTTATGACGTCTTCAAAAGCTTTCTTATTGCTGCTGTTTACCAAGGAAGTGTTTTAAGACCCGTCTTGTATTTAATTTATACGCACGATCTTCCCACGAACCGAAACCTCGTCACATAAAGTTTTGCGGATGATACAGCAATACTTAGTGTCGATTCAAACCCCCTGACAGCCAGTTACAGATTACAAGAACATTTAAAAGTAATAGAAGAGTGGCTAACAACTTGGTGAATTGAAGTCAATGAGTCTAAGTGTATACAAGTGGCATTTACCCTAAAAAAGACACTCTATAAATGGGAATACAATACCGCAGAAAGAATTCGTTACCTACCTGTGAGTTACATTGGATAAAAGACTCACCTGAAAAAACCACATGGACAAAGAGATTACTCAAACCAAATTGAAAATTGCGAACTTGCATTGGATTGTTTGGCTCCAAGTCCAAACTAAGTCTAGAAAACAAAGTTTTACTTTTTAATATGCTTATAAAGCCATCTTGGACGTACGGAATCCAAGTTTGGGGCTCAGTATCTAAATTTAACGTAGATCGAATTCAAAGCATGAAGTTTAAAGCCTTAAAATCAATATGAAAAGCCCCTTTGTGTGTAAAAACTCCATAATTCACAACGATCTCGGGATTAAAACCGTCCCCCAGGAAATAGAGAAACTGCTTAAAAATTACTCATTAGGGTTATCCAAGCACCCAAGCTTTCTAGCTTAAAAATTTATTCAGCAGAACTACCCTAAGCGATTAAAGAGAAAGGATTTACGTTTGAACTGTGACTGAAGGCTCTGCTGCATCCAATTATTCTACATCGGAGTTGCGTTCTGCAGATATCCTTCATGATCTTATAATTTATTTCAAATTATCCTTTATATATTTTATGAGTGCATAAGTTCGTGCCCGATTCCGCTGGATGCCGTTCGAATCGTTTGAGAGTGGCGCTCGTGAAAGAAATATATAGATATTATATATCGTTGGAAAGGTGACAGTCCGAACTGTAAATCAAGCATTAAATAACTTCATTTTGATTTGAGTTGCTTACTGAAAAGACGCATGGAAGATGGACTACGAAAAAGATCATATGCGTCATTTTATGTTATACGAATTCCGCAAAGGAAAAACAGTAGGCGCTGCAACTAAAGATATTCGCGAAGTTTATTTGGACCGTGCTCCAGCAATCCGCGCAGTAAAGAAATGGTTCGCGAAATTTCGTTCTTGAGATTTTAACCTCGAAGATCAACCTGGCAGTGGACGGCCTTCTCACTCACGTATTTCGACGGAATAGGTTGCCAGTGAATTGAACGTAAACAAATCAACTGCGTTTCGTCGTTTAAAAAAGGTTGGGTGCCACATAAATTGAGTGAAAAAAAACAAAGTGGACCGTATGTCAACAGCAATTTCTTTGCTTCGACGGATCAAAAACGAACCATTTTTGGATCGACTCGTGACTGGTAATGAAAAATGGATCCTTTACAACAATGTTCAACGCAAAAGAACATGGAAACAGGCACACGAAGGGGCGGAACCGATGTCGAAAGGTGGATTGCATCCGATGAAGGTACTGCTGTGCATTTGGTGGGATATCCGAGGCGTGATCTATTTTGAGCTCTTGCCAGCTGGAGAAACGATCACTGCCAACAAGTATTGTCAGCAATTGGTCGAATTGAAGAAAGCAATTGATGAAAAATGTCCGATTTTGGCCAATCGCAAAGGAGTTCTTTTCCATCATGACAACGCCAGGCCACATGTTGCAAAACCGACCCTGGCCAAACTGAAGGAGATGAATTGGGAAATCATGCCGCATCCCCCATATTCACCCGACATTGCATCTTCTGATTATCATTTGTTTCGATCGCTGCAGAACAAGTTGAATGCAAAAAAAATTTAAAAATGTGGAAGACGTCAAAAACCACCTTGACACCTTTTCCAACGAGAAACCGCGCGATTTCAATGAATAAGGCATCCGTAAATTGGTTGAACGTTGGGAGTGAATTGCCGAACATGATGGCGAAGACATAATTGATTAATAAAAGCGCTTTCTTCAAAATATTTCAATTTTAGTTTGCACTTGAAATCAGGCACGAACTTATGCACTCATCAATATATTTTTTGTAAAAAAAAATTGAAGAGTAGTATTACCAGGCTTTAAAAAATGTATGCTACACTACTCAAGCACTAAATACAATCATTTGAGTGTTAATATTACTGCCTTATTTTTTTTTTTTTTGATACATATGTATATACATACATATATATATTTTTTTAATATTTTCTCAGTTACTACAACACATTCTCATTCTCATTTACCAATTTATGTGTCTTTTTTTGCATTGAATAAATATTAATTTTTTAAAAATTTTCGTTTAATTTTCTCTTATTTTCAATATTTGCTTTGTTGGATTTGGAAAATAATTTCAAAATCAATTTTAAATGGTTGTTAACGAGCACTCACTTAAACTATATGTACATATGTCTGTAGTTATGTATATTAAAATCCTTTTCAAGTCACACAAATTTGCACTAAATACCGTTATCAGTTATTTTATGTTGTTGCTGTTTTTTTTTTTTTTACTTCCACACTCAGCCATCAACTTTTCATTGTCACACTCGATGCGTTGGGAGAGTTGAAATGCGTCTAAACGCAGCTGAAAGCGCGTCCGGCAGCCAGATTAATTGGAACAGCGGCGAACAAAATCCGCGCGAGATTTACATAAATACACACATATTTACTTCTCACTTGCATTCACATACACAAAAGCTACGCTTGACAAACTAACAACTGCCTCTCACGCGTCGCGTCCCTGAGCTCGAGCGTTGAATATCAAAACTTTTATTTATTTTCAATAGAATTTTTCGCTAAAACTTTTTTATTTGCGCTTCCTTTACAGTTGTTTTTACACGTTTTTTTTATTTGTTTGTTTTTTTTTTCTTTTTTTTTTTTTTTTTTTTTTTTTTTTTTGATTTAGTGGAATTTTGTCTATTGTCTCTCTGTATCTCTGAGCATGCTTGCCGTGCTGGTGTGTGTGTGTGCGTGTGTAATATAAGCCCGATTGGCGTTCATTGATCAATAACAACAACAACAACTATGCGTTGTTTATAAATTAAAAGTAAATAACAAAAACGTTTATTGCCACAAAAACAAAAACAAAAACGAGCAAAAAACGACTAAAATCAGCATCGGCGGAAGAGAGCAAAAAAGCTTCTGCGAATTCTAAATAAATCGGCTTTTATTCGCAAAATCGTTACTTTTCGGCGATTTTTGGCGCAGTTTTTTTCGTTGATTTGCGTTTTTTGGAAGTTTTTTTTTTTTGCATTTTTTTTTCCAAGCAACTCAAATACAATTTGTCGCTGATTGATGCGACACTGCTTGCCTAAATTGTCGAAAATCTACACAAGGTTTTTTTTCTTTTTATATTCACATGTCTGTATGTATGTATGTGTGTATGTGTGTATAATTTGTTTTTAAAAAAGCATGTTTGTTATCAATCGAAATGTTTGCATAAAAATTAAAGAAAAATACTTGCAATGACCCGCGGCGACCTGTTGCAGTGGCTGAATATCAGCTGTTTTAGTTTCAGTTTACGGTTAATTTTTAAAAATTAAATTCGTAATCTAGACACGGCGAGAAAAAAGTTTGACTTAATTGACTTGAATTTTTTTAAAATGTTCATATTAATCCTGGAGAGGTTTGTGTCAGAAAACTTTCCAGGAAGTGGAGTTACTTGAAATGCGGCTGATGGGTAGCTGGATTGAACCAGGGAGCGAACACTGCGCAAAACACGTGTTTATATTTCTATTGAAAAAATGTATATAAATATTCCTTGTTTGCCTCAGTTTAGTTTTTGGTTGATATGTCTTAAGGATATACTTTTGTTTGCTGAAAATGAACCAGAGACCTGAAACCAAGGTGGATTTGTTCGAAATATAAATAACCACTTCTCTCCTAGAAAGGTATCACCGTCATATTGACAAAAATTGACATGATTTCTTCGTTCTTTGGAATTTTTACATAAATCTATAGGCTTATAAAGTTCAGTTAACACAAGAACTCAAGGCGTCCGATCATGAATGACGTCGTGTCTTTGCTGAAGAACCGGAAGCTCATCAAAAATTCGTCTTAACTGACTGAAGTCCATTTCTACTTCGATAGGTACGTCAATAAGCAAACTATCTCAACTGGGGGCTCGGAAAACCCAAAAACTTATTGCTAAAAAGTCTCTCCGTCCTCAATGAGTAACTGTTTGGTATGGTTTCTGGTACCGGGGAATTATTGTACCCGGCTTTTGATTGGATTGTGCTAACAAGAGATTAGTAATGATATTTTATGGCTGAAATGTGATGGCATTGAACTGGACAACGTTTACTTCCAATAAAGCGGCGCTACGTGCCTCGCAAGGATTGACTGCTATTGATCACTAAGATCTTTTAATTCAACACCTTTCGACTTTGCCACTTATTCTCTTCATAAACTTAAAATACTCTAGACATCAGTCGCTTGATCACTCCTGTCTGTTGATGGGTTTTCACATGGAAAACCCGGGCATTAACCCTGTCGGTCTTGCGCTCCTACCCTACAATGGTTTCTGCTTTCATCTTTAGATCTCAGTATCTCTCCCACACAGCGTGAGCTACAAACAAAGGAAACGTTGCAAAGTGGGCAATAATTTTACTCCTTGACTGCGATACGATAATCTTCAGCGTACCAGCTCTTCTTTTGACAGTATAGTAAGCTTTGCTTGTATAGTACCTTTGCTGGTTGTTGTATATAGTGAACTTGAAGTGTCGTCACACAGTTGCCTTATACCAAGTTGTTGATAAGTGTTCTCAGAGAGCAGGAGACCAAGTCCAATAGAAAACCATTTGACTGTTTATTTCCTAGTATTTGTTGACGGGCGTTCTTTGCTAAATAGATGCGGGTGCGTAGCTTCACTGCTACCAGATAATTAACCGAGTCGATGTAATGCAGCGTACGCACGTCTAAAGCTTTTGTCTTCCATATATCATAATAAGTTCGATCTGTTTGCTGGTTTTTCGATGCGAAGACACAAATTAGATGGGAATATTACATGCTCCGGTAAAGTCGATAAGTTCGTTATGTAGACTGAATTTGCCGGCAGTGGTGTCGAAGGCATAACCTCGGACTACCCCAGGGTCGAAGTCGCCAAACACAATTCGAACTTCGTGGCGTGGCTACACTCATAGGTATTGAAAACCACTACTCGGCGACTGACAATCTCACCGGTTACGAATACGATTTCAAAACTTGAGTTTTTCATGTAGGCATAACTTAATAATTTCCATTCTTCTTCCATTCCATGGATGATGGTGCTGTTAGCGTTGAGTCTTAGGAGGACACCAACCAACTGGGTAGCGACATTGTCTTAGTGGTCCACAAAACGCTTCAGTGGTCGGCATCAAAGTTGAGTTCTCTCGTCTAAGACTTTTATATGTTTTCATTCGAGCTGGTTTCTATGTGAGGGCTCTGAAACACAAGGTACAACTTCGCTACGCAAGTTGGCTTATATTTGGATCACATGTATGTAGTGAATTGCTCATTTCATAGCCATCACCTGTTCGCAGTTGGACCTTTGATGAAAAGACGCTGCTAAGTGACTTTAATGAATCCTCACACCGAATATTTTGTGGAAGTTCCACGCAAACTCTTTCTCTCTTTCTGCAAAAGCCTATGCTGCTAATAGGTTGGTAACGGCAAGGGTGGATCTTTGGGGCTTACGACGAGAACTGAATTGACGGAATTGTGTGGCAGAAGCATAGACGAACAGGCCATTTGATCAAACGGAACTAAGGGTTTTCGTGAAAAAGATTTTTTGAACGGTGGCAATTCGGAAGCAGTGAGTATCGCAGCCAACGGATCGATGAACTGAAATTGGAAAGCTTTAGCGAATAAAGAGATTGGGACTCCTTTGGCAAAGTGATGTAGTATGAATGGATGAAAGCAGTGAAAGGAGAAGACCTCCGCTACATGGGAAGCATCAGATAGGGAGCAATCTTGTTTTATATTCTTGCTTAAAAACTCCCGATGAGATATCTACCGGCAACATCGAAGGTAGCCAGAGACCTGCGCTGCACTCAAAGGGTATCGTTAATAAAAACTCAATGCTTTTCAGTACCAGTTCCAGTAGTTCTTGTTGTGTCATATAGATCTACTGAACATCGCAAATTTATAGAGTCAACTGATATGTAAGCTCGGTCTTCCTTACACTACAACCAAGTATTTTCAGCTGAGCGTACACATTCACATCTTTCCAACCATTTCCAGCCGAGGTGAATGTGCAAGATTTTCCAGCAATTATTAAACTTCGATTGAGTGCGTCGTCGCCGCTATGTTGAACCTAAAAAACTTTGCCGATGATTATCTGGGTCATTAACACTGTTGGTGTTGTCAAACGAACGAGCGAAGGTGCGAATGCCCCAGTAAGGTGTTGTCGATAATGGTCGGTCGTAAAACTTTGAAAATATCATTATTTGTTTGAGTGTGTGCGTGTGTGTACGATACTAAAGGAGCGAGGGAGAGAGAGAGGGATAAAGTTTGGAGCACCACAGCTTCTACCAACTAAAGCATATTTCCTGTGCTTGAGCTACCTCGCTTCACCCACAGACAGCCACACCAACCGGTATGCGCACACACCTTTATGACAATTATCTTTAAAACTTTACCACAAGCAACGCATTGGCACTTTGCAGCAATCTCCAATAAAGTTTGTCAGCCATTGACATTAGGCGTGTTAATCAGCCATTGAAGTAGTGCTCTCCACAGCACAGTCTGTGAGGAAATATTTTTCTCGTTTTTTGTTTTGTGGAACTTCTTGTTTCCTCATTGAGGCTCCTTGGCGGCCAAAAGTTTGGCTTGCTTTTTGCGGTTTCACAACTCAAGTGGGGTTTCTTCTACCATGGTTTTCTTATGCACCGCAGTTTACTTGCTCTTTGCACATCTCCTGTTGTTTTTGGCTTCTCTACCTTCTTCACCTTGTTTGGCTTCGCGTCGACTGTCTTTTGCCATTTGACACTGACCCACATCCGTTTTACTCTCACTTTCTCCTAGCACTTTTTATGTGAACATTAAGAGTCACATAAATAAATATATATATATATATATATATATATATATATGTGTAGGTACATATTTTCACTTTCCACTTTCCACTTTCACTTTCATTGCCATTAGGCGACAGTTTGTGCCATAAAATTTGGTTTATACGCAAAGTTTTTGGCTCGCGAAGACGATTTTCGATTATTTGTTTTGATAGTGGAATTCTTTGAGGTTGTCAATAACAGTGCGGAGTGTGTTTGAGAAAGAGATTGGAAGGGAGAGAAAGAGAGACGGAGAGTGGAAGGGAGAGACAGAGAGTGAGTGAGAAGGTCGATGGCGTGGGCTTTACGTGGGCGTGTGCGTGTCTGTTGGAAACCGTTACAAACTATTGGTGTTATGAACGTGGCAAAAATGTGTTGCAAATGATAAATGAGAACATTTGTAGTTGCGACAGTGTAGATGATTAAAGTGATAAAATTAAGTAGCGTGAAATTTGTTAGTACACAAAAGTAATGGAAAAGTAGCGAGAATGTCCCAGTTTTAAGCAAGTTTGGTTACTTGGGGTTGTGGTATTGGGAATATCGGTTGAAAGTGGAGCACGATACTAAAGGCTGCTAGCGCCATTG